CGCTCATGCGGTGCTCCTTCCGAGGATGACACTCCCGAGGACCTCGAAAAGGCCAAGGCCACCGTCTCTGAACTGCTCATGTGGGGTGCCATCTGGAACGATGTCGACAACAACAACGAGACTCCCGGCTGTGTGGCTGCCCGTCTCAACCGGCCTGAGCTGTATGAGCTCTGCGTCAGTGCTGGTGTGAGGGCCGAGATGTTGTTTGGTCTGATGGATGGCTATGAGGCTTTGGACAGTGATGATGAGGATGATGAGGAGATGGCCGAGGGTGAGGAGGCACAGGCTGAGGATGGCGAGGAGGCTCCCGAGCTGGTCGCCGCGGAAGAGGCAACTCAAACTGCTGAGGAAGAGACGCCCGCTGTCTTCCAGCCCCCTGCAGTCAACCTCGAGGAGCAAGTCACCAGCGACAAGTATCTGCGCTCTACTGTCGCCTACTCGGACGGTAAGCTGGTCGACGACGCCGGCAACGGTGTCATGATGGCCTGGGAAACCGACATTATGCGTCGCAGTGTTGACGCCCTGCTCCCCAACAAGGAGCCCGGCAAGAGGATCCTCAACATCGGCTTCGGCATGGGTATTATTGATGGCATGTTCGCCGAGACCAAGCCCGCCGTTCATCACATCATCGAAGCCCATCCCGAAGTCCTCGAGTACATCTCCACCCCCGAGTCCAAGTTCGATTCCACCTGGGAAGAGAGCGGTCCGGCTCCCGGTGCCTACAGAGTTTGGGAGGGCAAGTGGCAACAGATTGGCCTCCAACTGTTGGAAGAGGGTCATGTCTACGATGCCATCTACTTTGACACCTTCGGCGAGGACTACGGCCAGCTGCGCATGTTCTTCACCGAGTACATACCCGGTCTGCTTGACTCCAACGGCATCTTTGGTTTCTTTAACGGACTGGGAGCTGATCGCCAGATTTGCTACGATGTCTACACCAAGGTTGCCGAAATGCACCTGGCTGATGCCGGTCTGGACGTGGAGTGGAAGGAGATTCCTGTGGACATGAAGGAGCTGGCTGAGGCCGACAAGGACGGCTGGGAAGGTGTGAAGAGGAGGTATTGGACTCTTGATAGTAAGTACCCGACGTTTAGCTTGTGTTGTTTTGGACTCCTTGCTAATATTTTACAGCATACCGCTTGCCCGTGTGCACGTTCCTTGGATAACTTTCTTGTTTCTTTTCTTTCTTCGAAATACTTAAAGCCGCGATACCCATTCTCTACCACTGAATCTTCACCGTCCCGCATCCCGTGCCATTATTCCCGGTTCTTGTCTGTTGCCCACGTCGAGATGTTGCTCTGATCACCCACACACGCAAACTCGATTTTTTTCCTTGTCTAGTGTACTTCTGATAAAAACACGCTCCTTCATGGTGAACAACACACCATGGTCGCCGGCTCCACCACGACCAACCCAAAGTCCCGGAATTTGTTCCGCTTCGACTTAGCAGCGACCGACACCGGCATCCACCCTAGGAGTAGTGATGGTCCCTTCATCCACCAACAGACTTTTCTCCCTCCATAGCTCGGCCAATGTTGTGTAACCTCGCCACGATAGTGTACGCGACTGTCGCCTTGATAAGCATATGCACCCTCACTCGGATTGATGCCGGAGGGGCAGCATCTTATGATAAATGTAACCGTCCCTATCAACATTGGACTGTTCGGATCGCAATCAGCAACACCTCTACAGATATCTTCATGTCGTCTGGGTATCAAAGCTTATTCTCTCGACAAGCCGGTACCCGAGACACCTTAGGCACGGTCCGCGCCTCCCATGTGTGAATAGATCAAAGGTGTATCGCTGTCGATATTTTGCGCACTATCAGAAAAACCTCCACCTCTTGAAGGAAGCTAGGAAAAACCATCGCTGCTTCACAAGGCTCGATGAATAGATTGAGACGAATCATTGCAGAAGCGCATGGGGTACAAACCCCGGCAACAGTACCGAGCGATGATCAACCAGCTGGATTGGCCAGTTGCTTGTGGTGGACCAAATGGTTCAAGTCTAGACAAGCTTTGAGGTTTCGTTCGTGCAACCATCGGCAGGGTCCGAACTCCACTACACTACTACCCTAGAGATACCGAACATTCATCCGACTCGATGCGGCTACACTACCCAATACTAATGACATCCGGAATGCTGTTTGCTACACAGAACAAGTGCCGGACGGGTGAAGGTCGAGCTTGTGAAGAGGGAAAAGGTTCATGATGGATCGCTGATAGGAAGGGCATATAAAGTATGGCGGCTCTCCCTTCCTTGTCTCTGGGCCGACTTCCTCCAGCACAGAGACGACTCCAAAGTCGATAGGTTGCTCAGCATGACTCTCTCCACGAAGGCCTCCCTCGGGGCCTTCTTCGACCCTTCTCATCTCACAAATGCATCTCCCAATGTCATCCTCCTCGCCACCTTCTCCCTTCTCATTGTCTACTACATCACCTCCTCCATCATTGCCTGGTACCGCCTGCGTCACTTTGACGGCCCATGGCTCGGCAAATTCTCGTACCTCTGGATCTTCAAGATCATCCACTCGGGCCAAATGGGTGAAGCGGCCCACGCCGCCCAAGACAAGTACGGCGGCGTCGAGCCCGGCTATCCTTCCACCGTGCGCATTGGCCCCTCGGACCTCATCACCACCGAGCTCGACCTGATCCGGCGTATGTCTGGCGCGCGCTCTCGCTATACCCGCTCGGACTGGTACAAACTCAATCGCCTCGATCCCTATGACGATAACATGTTCAGCACCACTTCCACTACCTACCACGACAAGCTCAAGAGCAAAATGGCTCCCGGCTACGCGGGCAGGGATAACACCGGCGTGGAGAAGGACATTGCCCATGTGATTAGCAAGCTGGTCGACAAGATCAGGGTCAAGTATGCGGCGCCCAAGGGGTCCACGTCACCAGCGGGAAGGGAGATGCTGGAGTTTGGCCAGATGGCGCAGTACTTTACGCTTGATGTCATTTGCAAGACGGCGTTCCAGGTCGAGTTTGACCACATCACCAAGGAGGAGGACGTGTTTGGGTACATCTACATGGTCCACAACTTGGTTTATGGTAATGCCATGGGTGCGACCATTCCGATTATCGGGAAGATTTTGAGTAATCCCTTGTTCTTGAAGATCTTTGGTCCGACGACGAAAGATGCCAGGGGAATGGGCTTGATCATGAAGTGGGTTTCTGTCCTTGTCTCGATTTGATGGAAAAACGACTGACAGGAAACAGGGTCGCGAGAGAAATCGTCGCCAAACGCTTTGCTCCAGATGCCAAAGACCAGCAGGACATGCTCGTAAGTCTTCCCATTCCTTCTTTCTTTCTTTCGGCCCCATTAACCTCCTCCAACCGCCACAGGGCTCCTTCATCCGCCGCGGCCTCACCCAGCGCCAATGCGAGACCGAATCCATCTTCCAGATCCTCGCCGGCTCCGACACCACCGCCACCGGCATCCGCTCCGGCCTGCTCTACCTCTGCTCCAACCCGCGCGCCTACACGCGTCTGCAGCGTGAAATCGACGAACGCATCGCGTCCGGTCTCATCTCTTCTCCATGCATCACCAACGCCGAATCCCTCGCCTTCCCCTATCTCCAAGCAGTAATCTACGAGTCCCTACGCATGCGCCCACCCTTTGATGGACTCCCCTTCAAGATCGTCCCACCCGAGGGCGATTATACCCGCGATGGAAGGTTCATCCCCGGTGGAACGAAGATCACGGCCACGTTTGGCGCGATGCAGAGGAACAAGGAGGTGTTTGGTGTCGACAGTGATATCTGGAGACCGGAGAGGTGGTTGGAGGAGGAGGGGTGTGATGCGGAACACAGGAGGGAGATGAAGAGCGTGGTGGAGATGGTGTTTGGGTATGGGAGGTGGCAGTGCGCGGGCAAGATGGTGGCCATGTTGGAGTTGAATAAGATTTTTTGCCAGGTACGTTTTCTTTTTCGTTTCGTTTTCTTTTGTTCTTGAGTTGCCGGAAGGAAAGGATAATCGTCGGGCAATGGAAAGAGTCGCGGGGTCCGCGATAAAGGAGTCACAAGATCATTGCTAACAAAGCACGCAAACAGCTCATGCGGAACTTTGACTTCCAGCTTGCCAACCCTACACAACCGTGGAAGAGTCGCAACTATCACATCTTTTTCCATGACGACTTTTATCTGACTGTTACGGACAGGCACAGCAAGACGGAGGACGAGAAGTCAGGCTAGGCGTCTGTCGAGAAGTTTCAAATAAGCAAAATGACAAGTTGACTTGTTCTCATCATGCCGACGTCCCGGACGTAGGGAGTTACGATCTGGGCTTTGGCATCTTTGCCTGTGCTGCTTCCTGATTGTGTGGCTGGTCTTGGTTCATGGTGCGTGTCTCTTCACACACACGTCACGCTGAAGTTCACGAATTATCTTCAACTTTTCGCTTGGTCGACGGGTTGCCTCAAATGGCAGAACACGCCGAGGTTCTTTCTGTCATTTGCCATTGTCTGGTTAGGAGCACCTGCACAGCTGGATCCACATCAACACCGATGTCATCTGTCCCTCACTGTTCAGCCTCCAAATGGGGACCTATGGCCATAGCTCCGCAAGCTCTCCTCAGCTTGCAGTTCCGTTCAATGACAAGCCCTATGATCCTTTCACCAATATCTGGTGCACAACTGTTAGTGCTCACAGACCTCGTAACTCCCGCCCGAGTTCCCCCTCATATCCCCGTCTTCCCAACCCCTCAGACAATGACGTCCACTCTCCGTACATGCTTTCCAGACACCGCCGTCAAAATGACATCTTCAGTCCATGCTTCTCCCTCCACATTGACGTCTCTATATGATGGCGACCGTCTCTCTCTCTTATAATTCATCCCGCCACGAATTGCGTGCTCTCTGCTTTCGTTCTCCTTTCTTCTTCCCTAGACTTCCGTCCAATGCATCATCAGTCTCATCACGAACACCAACAACATCACGAACAACACCACGAACACCAACAACATCACGAACAGCACCACGAACAGCATCATCACAACATGCCGCAGCACGGAAAGAAGCAGGTGCACCAGGAAAACGTTGGTCACCAGCCGCACCACCTGAGGCATGAGGGCGAGCAGGAGCCCGGATACACCGATCTCGCTTTGGAGGAGGGTCATGATTTGATTTACCGCGCTGAGGAGGAGGCTCATGTATGTTGACCATCATCTCCCATCTCCGTTGCTGCCTGGTTCCTTTTTCGTTTACCCTTGAGCCCATTGCATCTTCGAGTTGATCGATCTTGGATAGATCTTTGACCCATCCACACATTGTCTTCTTCTTCCTTGACCATCCTTTCAATTCCCCTTTCCACCCTCTACTTCTTTCCACCCTCTTTTCCCATCTTCTCTTTTTTCTCTTTTTTTCCCACCTTGTTTTCTCTCCCTCTATTTTTCTTTTCTCCTTTTCCTTCGTCCGCTTTTTTTTCTTTCTCCTTATCTTTCCACCGTCTTTCTAACCCTCTTTCTCCTTTCTTTTCGCCCTCTCTTTCCATTTCCCTTTTCCTCCCACCATCTCTTACTCTCCCTCTTTGTCCACTCTCTCTCTCTCTCTTTCTCTCCCCCTCTACCGCTCGCACAAACATCCCTTCCTATACCCAGGGGCATCCCCACAAACCAGATACTAACCCCCCACCACCACCACCACCAGATGCACGACGACGAGAAAAACATGCCAAAATCCGCCTCGCAGACAGGCACCAGCGGCCCCGGCATGATGACCAAAGACATGAAAGCCAAGATGATGATGCCCGAGGGTTCAGCGACCTCGGAAAATATGCCGCAGGGCGGTTCCTCTAGCATGGGCATGGGCTCCTCTGGTATGGGCTCTTCCGAAATGGGCTCCTCTGGTATGGGTAGTGGCATGGGTACGGGCCAACAGCAGCAGCAGCAATCCAGCGGTAGCGGTAGCAGTGGAGGAGGAGGAGGAGGAATGGGACATAAAATGACGGAGGAGATGAAGAAGGGAATGGAAGGAGTGGGGAAGAAGATGGAGGGGATGAAGGAGGGGATGAAGGAGGGGATGGGGATGGGAGGTGGGTCGAAGAAGTGAAATGCAGAGGGTGTAGAAGAAGTATCTGGAGGGGAAATGGGGGAGGGTAAGGAACGACTGAAAAGGGAGGAAGGAAAGGGGGAAGAAGGAAAGGGAGGGGATAACGAGGGGGGAGGAGAAAAACAGGGACGAGGCAAAGAGGATGATGATGAGACAGATTGGGAGGGGGCGGGGTTGTGGGCTTTGGTGTTGGGTGGTGGTTGATGAATTGTCTGTCTAGCTCTAGGGGGTGAGAATAGTGGGAAAGAGGTCTGTATGGATAGTGTTTGTGTTGTATTTTTATGTTTCAATGTAAGTGTTCGATGGAATAAGATGTGAAAAGGCTTTTGGAGGTTTTCATGTTTTCTCATATTGATCATGGCCGAAGTGTCGACCTGAGTCTTATGATTGTGCCGGCCGGAAGTCCAAATAGTCTGGCCTTTGGGTGATACGGTGAGGAAGGGTAAGTGCACTTACACGCTCTTTCCTGTTAACAGACCTAGAATGACAAAGAAACAGCGATGCTAGTCGATAGTAAATAGCTTAAGAACTACAGCCCCAACATCTGGATACAACAATGAAACCAGCGTTAACGAAAAAGTCTTGTAGGGCAGTCCCCTCTACCACTATTGGCTCCGCAACACCAACCAGATGAATCGAAGTTGGTCCCGACTCCGCGGGCATCGGGCCGCTCGTGGTTCAGCTCATCTTATCGTCGCAGCGGGATTGATGCTACCTACCTGGTACAGTCTCATGTACTTCATGCACCCGTAGATTTCTCTTGTTTGATGTAACCCGTCAGCCTCGCGAGGTTCATGCACTGCTCAGGGGTACATGTATCTAGCCACCTAACATCTGTAGAAGTCTGGGGTCTGCTTTAAGTGAGGTGCTCCTTGCGGCTACGGCAGGTGTGGGCTGTAGTACTGCGTCGCTCGGTTTGAGATGAAGGTTGTACTCAGTGGACGCGCGCGATTGGTGATGTTGTAGGGACGGATTGTAACCTCACAGTTTCTCGGGAAAATGTGGTGTTTCAATACCTCTAGGCGTGATTTGGTATGCTGTGATAGTGGATGACTGGAGTGTTGTTGGGATTGAAGCGTTGGTTGTTGAGGGTCTGACTTTGTTGCTCATTGGGGACATACATTGCCCTTTGACGAACAGACAGTCCTTCGTCTCTTTACCACCCCTTCCCCTCATTCAAGAATATCTTCCTTCTCGGAAGGAACAGGCTACAAATTCTGGTGTTCCAACTGGACTCCATCTTTGACACCGCCGGAGTCCTCGCTACATGAGTCAGTTCACCTAGCCCTATGTCTCTAGAGGTCCCTTAATCTCCCGCCATCTCCAATTCCTCACCGTCTTGTCATCTCCATGTCCCCTGAAACCTGCATGGACCTCGTGATACGTACCTCTACCTGAAATACGGTGGTACTTCTACCTAGGGTCTCCATCTGGGACCAACCAAGATGCATTTAACCGGTCCATTCCCCGAGTTTCCGAGGGATCTAGTCTGCTCTAGCCCATTTATGGGCCAAAATTTCGTGCCCCCTTAATATGATGGCTCGTATCAGTGTCCAAAGGGCCGGGTCCCTGGGGGCGTACAGTAGACGCTCTTATGTCCACTGTCTAGTGACTGTATGCAATACTGTAGAGCTAGCCTAGGTAATCTTTTTGTCCATAGAGTAGGTAGGTTATTCGGCTCCATGCAGGCTTTGAGGCAAGATCAGGTACTTTCCCGTTGTTGAGGTTCAGCCTTCCGCTCGCTGGCTCCATGTTTCACCACCCCATGAGCAGCCCTCATGTGTCCTAGGCTCCCAAGTCCCAACACAGGACCTCTACTTATGTATATCTAGAGGTACCTATGCATCTTAGGTAGGTACCTACCTACCTCGAGTCTGGGGCCCTACCTGATGTTCGTTATTCCATGGTAATGGGGGATTACTAGAATTGTAGGTACCTCTAGTTACACCTGCCAGTATGGTAGAGGTAGGTACCCGATTGTGGGAAATAGCGCTCACCCATCTCTTTATGTTGCCAGCATTTGGTCCCCCCTTCCTTAAATGCTACTTGCCACCTCTTGAAAGTTCAAGTGTAAGTGTACCTACCTCTACAGGTTTACACAGTACCCTTTCTCATCCGTGGACAGGTACCTCTTCCTCGCGCCGATGTCGTTGACCTGTAGTGCTTGGGAATGTGGAATCCGGTGGCCGTTGGCAATAGTGTACTTTGACCTCGCCCCTCTAGGATTCCTGAATGAATCAGTGTCCGTTTTGGACATCCTCACCTGACCAAGCGAGCAGTTTCGTCCAGTCCATCTAGGTTAGTCTAGATCAGTCTGGCACTCTGGTAAGTCTGGTGACGGGTGAAGGGGGGGCAACATCTGTTTATTTGGATGTTGAGTCTGGGACTATCGATCCAGTCTGGACTTGACTAGACTTGGAGACCTGAAGTGGCTGGAGTGATCGTTGATTGGCAGAGTTCGGGAATTGGGTCACAGAAAGGGCAGTGAGTGAAGTGGCAAATGGATTTGACATCCGTCGGCGAGTGAGGTAATCTTGGGGTCCAGTCTGGGCACGCTAGATTCGCTGTCTCTAGAGCCTAGTCTAGAAGCCTATAGGTGTGTGGCAATAGCAGTGGCCGGTTTGGATCGTGATATCTATCTCTGTTAGCAATGAGCAGGGCATATCCTGACGATTGACAAATCCTTCTATCGTCTCTTCTTCATCGCCCATTTGCTGAAAAGGAAGTAACTATCCAAGAAACGAAGGAGTGAAATGCAGCTGCCCTATGATAGCACGATCGGGCCCCAACCTTTGCCAAACGTCTCGTGCTTTAGGTTCTCTTCCAACTGAACAGCCGGAACGGGCGAGTGTCTTGCCCAAGCTGCCTCCGTTCAGATGGGCTCTTTTTCAATTCCAATCCCTCCTTCTCTGGTTTCCCACGCCCCTAACGCAACTGCTACATTCCGTTCCTCACGTATTCCTGATATGTAACTCCATCTTCCCCATCTCTCCACGTCTTCAATGTGCCTTTTGTTCCTCGTGCTTTATTTACATGAGCATACTTTACTCCCCATCCACGTCCCCCAACTACTTTTTGCCATTCATCCAACAAGTAACCTATCCATGTCCCCATGCCGTTGTTCCCGAGATCTTCCAGTCGATGTTTCCTCAGATATACAGACGGACGGGTATCTAGAGGTAAGCAAGTACCTCTACATCACTACCTAGCCTATCCATCTAGCCTAGTGTAGAACTTACCCGGAATCCAAGCTAACCAAGCCAAGCAAGCCAAGACCCATTCACGACTGATGTTGTAGATCCAATCCGGCTAAATACACCGAACATTCTCTGCATTAGCTTCTAAATCTCTCAGTCTCTCAATCTACCAGCCAGTACGGGTACCCGGAGTGCGGTTACGAGGACAGTCATTGGTCTTCCCTTTTCTCACACGGTATACTATGTACATCTCCTTCCTTTTCTTCCCTCCTCTTCCCTTCTTCCCAAAGTTTCGCTGATGGGAAAGGTGGACTGGAGAAACCGCCGGGAAAGGTCACTGCCATTTTGAACTCGCCCTCACGACCTAGTGCATGTGCTGAGCTGGCGCCGCATTGTAGTGTAGCAGCGGGTTGTCATTGATCGGTCGTTGCGATCTCCGTTGCTTTCACTTCCACGTAGCTGTGCAAAAAGATAAAGCCATCGCCAACCTTTGTTGCTCCCGCTGTGAGAACCAATGAAGGACAACAAGCAAGAAAGCACTACAGTATACCAAAAAGTGCAGCAACAAAAGTGCCATTATCGTTCATTTCCTTCCAAGACTATTCCAAACGATAACAACAAAGAGGGTATAATAACGCGTTCCTTTACCGAGGATATTCCAATCTTTCCCTTCCCCTCCCTTTCCTTCCCAGTGACTCTCGTCATCCCGCCATCGACGTCGCCATTCATCCACATCGTGTAGGTGTAAACAGATAAACAAAAATATTAACATATAAACTTTCATGTCGTAACACATTGTCCCAAAACAGCAAGGACAAGCAAGACGCTGAAACCCCAGCTATCCAACTGGTGACTTGTCTGTCGAAGTTTCCAAATTGCTAGGACGATCACATCACTAAGCAGTAAAAACAGAGATCGATCTCAAACAAACACTCAAGCAGCAGACTTGCCCTCGTGCTCGTGAATCTCCACCTCCTTCTCGACCTGGTGAATATCGATGTGCGCGACATCCGCCTCGTCGCCATCAATGACCTTTGCGAGCTCCTCGAGCGTGGGGCCCTTGGTCTCGACGTACATGAAGAAGACAAAGACGAACTCGGCGGCGATCCAGCACTGTTTTGTTATCATGTCAGCATTTGTCGCCATCATCAATATATAGACGGAAAGGGGGAATCAAAAACTCACAGTGTAAATAAGATAAAGCTTCCACGAGTGATCAGGACCAAAATAATCAAACGCCACAGGGTTCGCATAAGTATTGAGCGTCAGCGCGCACTGCACCGACATGTTCATGACCATCAACCCCTTGCCGCGGAGTCGGTAAGGGAGGATTTCAATGGCGTAGCCCACCAGCAACCCGGACCACGCAAGCGAGTAGAAGATGCCGAACAGCCAGATAAAGAAGATCATGGCCTTGTCGGCGCCCTTGAGGCGGTGCTCGCCGTACAGACCGGCCGTCAGCGTCCAGATGACAAAGGTGCCGCACATGCCGCCGGTGGAAGCGAGGAAAAAAAGACGACGGCCGAGCTTGTCGACAAGCAGCGCCATGGTGACGGAAACGATGAGGGCGAGACCGGTCTGCCCGGCGGAAAGACCGAGTTTGGCCGTGGAGTCCTTGACGCCGGCGGTCTCGTACAGCTTGGAGGAGTAGTTGGAGATGATGGCGTTGCCGGACCACTGGGAGAAGAAGCCGAGCGAGAGGAGGATGGCGAGGCGGTAGCGGTTGCCGCGGGTCTTGAAGAAGTCGAGGTAGCTGCTGTTCTTGGTTGATTCCATCTCGAGGCGGATGGTCTCCTTGATCTC